TTCGTCAATTTTTTAGTTATAAAAATTAAAAGTAACATTTATGAAGCTTGAAGTATATGATGTTATGTGTCGTATGAATATGATAGATACATAGCTTAGTGACTTTCCATTTTTTTTTTTTTTTTTTTTTTTTTTGCGTTTTAATTAATACGAAGTAAGAAAGACGTACATTATTGGTGCATGTACAAGTTGGATGTTGCTCTCGGAAAATTATGTTTCATAGAGTGTTGTCAAACTGTCAATTGTACTAGTGACAATTGACATCTAAGCAAAACGAATTCATCATTTGTATTGGTCAAGATAGATTTTGATAGAAATATGTCCTACTTACTTCATCAAGAAATACTAACCACTATTTTTATATACCCTCCAAATTAGTTTGGGAACACCTCTCACAAATCTGTCAACCTAGCTACGCTGGTCAATGCTTGAGAGTAGAGAAGGGAGGTGAGAGAATTCCCCTATTCCTAAGCATATATAGTTGGTAGAGCTCGAATTGTGACATTAAATTTACAACTTACAAGGTGAGTTATTTTCCAATTTCACCAAGCTTGCTTGGTTATAATAGGAAAGTTTTAGTCGAAAAGATCATTCACATATACACTTGAGAAATAAATCAAGACATAAGACGAGAAACTTTTATGAGTTAAGGAATATGGGGATCATGCATGCAGTCGATGATATTTTATAAATCATACTTCGTAATTATATAATTCGTGTAAAAAGATAAATTTCCTTTACTAATAACGACTATAAATAAATACATAATCAACACAAATATATTCTCTATTGACTTTGTATTGCATAGTTTCTATCTTCATCACCTGTGCCATTTTTCAATATCAAACATTAATTTAGTTACTTATATGTATAAATATCAACTTTGATTTTGAGATGAATCTAACAAAATCTCACATAATTATTATATTATCAAAGATAATCAAGATTAAAAACATTGCAACTAAAATTAAGCTGAGGACGTATTAGACTATGGTGTACTAGCTAGGAGAATTAAACATAGAAAACGTTCAACACAACTAACTAGTAACTAGCTAGGGGAAGAAAAACATGCGTTGTTTTGACTCCTTTGTTAGTTTGAACATGGAAAACATTCAACACAACTAACCCGATTACATTGATCACTTTCTCTTTGAACTTTGAACATTCTCTTTCAAAGATGATTTTTTTGGTCTATTATAATCAATTATGAAAGGATAAGGTTTTGAGACTCATGAATTTTCACATGGGTGAATATCTTGCAAAATCTTCAAAATCCAATCAAATCATACATTAACTACTCGATTAATTTATTTCAAAACTTCAAAATCTAGTAAAAAATCTTGTAAAATCTAGTTTTATCAACATTTTGTTCGAGTATATTTAATATAAATCATATTCATTATTGTCTCTTGTAGGGTAATAGATAGCTTGTCTCAATGTCTCATACCTTATTAAGTTATGTAAATTCAAAAAAAAATAAAAAATAAAAAATAAAATTTAAATTAAATAATTTAAGTCATAATTCTTTTCAAAATTGGTTCAATTTGAATGGAAGCAATATTCATTCATTTTTAATTATATAGCACCGCCACCCCCCCCCCCCCCACCTTTTTTTTTTTTGAATAGATTTAGTACCTTAATTTGAGTACAATTACACTTGTATTTAAATATTGTTCTTGATAATATTCATAATCTACAACTCTGCAAGTAGCAAATAATTTATCTCTTTGAGTGGATGCATGCTAAAAGGAATGCGAACCATTGCCCTTCACCTTGTCTTTCGATATTTATTAAGTATGGTAAAACATTATCCTTATGATTTCCATATGTTCTCAGATGAATAGTACATTGAATGTATATACTAAGTACCAACTTTTCTTCAAAATAATATGTTTTTGTAAAATATTACTTCGTGAAAATATGACAATCTGGTATACATAAATAAATAAATAAATAAATAAAAAAACAATCCATAACAATTACTCCGTACTATGGTCTATGGTACTTGGTATTGTAGAACAAAGGAGTGTTATAAAATATCAATATCTTGAATTTTTATCGAACATTGTTTTTAATTTCAGTCTTCTTTTATCAATTGTTTGAAAATTCTTCCATATATCCAGGTGCACCTTGTTATAAAAGTTTTGCTCCTTGTCGTAGTACTTGACTACTCGTACAACAATTAAATTGACAAAAAAAAGTGCACATATTTTGATGTTAGGAGATTCAGTGCGAAAAATGCTGGTTTATGACATACATTGGCTTGTTACAGTCTGTCATCAATTCCATAAAAGAGAGGACATACAAATTAAAGAATCTGGTAAAATATATACGATGTCCTTTGTTCATACGCTGATTGAATTGCAGATTTTTAGAATCTTGGCCCAGGTGATCTCATAATAAGTTGAGAATTTTTGTTTTCATCTTTTAATTTGCTCCCATATCTAGTAAAGTAATGGATTTTGCTCAAATCGATAGTTTTATGTGCTAGAATTGATGTATAAATTGTCAGACAAAACACTAAAATAAATTTATTAAAAAAAAAAAACCTGTAAGACAAAACATCAAAGTTTTCCAAAATTTGAAGATATTTGATGTTATATGAAATTACTATTATAGTTGTAAATCGAGCTTGTTTAAACCTTTTTATTCAACAATAAACTTTTTCTTGTTTGATCTGAACATATTTGATTTTATTTTTCTTATCTCGGCCTATCCAAATTGCAAGTTGACCTTGAGTAACCCTTGGTTTCCTTATTGTCTAATGCGGAAAGATGTGAAATTAACCATAATTGTTAATGAACAGAGTAATTAACTAAAGAAAGCAAGATTTCAATCAAAATTTAAAGAAAAAAAAGGTGATATCTCACTAAGGCTTGTTTGAATGGTATACTTTGCTTGGTTTAAATTTTTAGAATTATTATTGTTATTGTTAAGGTGATACAGAAGCACTTTTGTCTATTCATAATCCATTGTTAGAATACTAATTGGTTGTTGGTATAGTGGTGATTGGAACTACATTTGGTAGGGAGGATCGTGTGTTCGAACCCCCGCAACAACAATTGGGAGGAGACTAAAACCTAACCACTCATAACTGATCCACAAATTCGGATTAACCCAAAGCGTAAACCGGGTGGAACACCAAAAAAAATTCATTGTTAGAATGGAATGAAAGGAGGGAAAAGAAGTGCGTGGACAATTTTGCTTTATTTTCTGCAAATGAGCAGAAACATTTGCTAATCTTCTGCATTCAAAAAAAAAAAAAAAAAAAAAGACTGCTCATTTTTACAAATAAAGTATTATTTATAATATAGAAGAAAAAAAAATAAAATTAATACCTGTAAATAAATTTCAAATTGTTCATTAAGCTACAAAATTTCACAGGCTCACAACATTAAAGAAGAAAAAAAGAAAAAATCAAAAGAGAAGTGGAGGGGGAAAAAAATTCAAACTTGAAATAGAATATTCTCATCAAGAAAGAAAAAGATTAGTCTTAGGAATTTAGAGGATGAAATAGGAGAACAAAGAGTCCTATTCGGGAATGAATTTATAGAAATAATATGGGTCTTATGAATTTTGTTAAATGACCATCTCAACTAAAAGTTTAAGCTTGACATTTGGCTACCTTAAGAGAGTTAAAGTTACTCCTGCCGTTTACCCGTGCTTGGTTGAATTTTTTTCACTTTGACATTGCACTGGCAGAAATCACATTGCTTTAACATCCGCATGGACCATCGCAATGCTTTGTTTTAATTAAACAGTCCGATTCCCCTTGTCCGTACCAAAGGTGACTGTTCGACGCTCGAGGAAGGCCCCCGAAGGGACCGTTCCCAGTCTGTCCCCCGGGCGGCACACGGTGACCCGCTCTCGCCACGAAAGCAGCTCGAGCAATCCGCCGACATCCGACGGGTTCGGGACTAGGACCCCCGTGCCCAGCCCTCAGAGCCAATCCTTTTCCCAAAGTTACAGATTCATTTTGCGACTTCCCTTGCCTACATTGTTCCATTGACCAGAGGCTGTTGATAAAGTATATAAACCGATCCTGGGCTTCAACCGGTTGAGTTGGTCCTATAACATGATATAAGAGCCAACTTGACACAAATGTCACGGGATCGAATCTCATCCACCCCCACTTTCAAGTGGAATATTGAGCATTGGGTATGAAAATGGCCCATGTTGCATCCACACTTCAAGTCCAACGAACTCTCGTATGAGGGGGCGTGATAGAGTATAAAAACATATTCCTAAGCTTATGGTTGAGTTGGTCCACTTTCAAAGTGGAATATTAAACGCTGGGTATAGTAGGGCCCATGCTACTTCCACACTTCAAACCCGATGGGCTCTCATAAGAGGAAGCGTGATAGAGTATATAAACCGATTTAAAGAGAGAAAATATGTCTTATGAATTTTGAGAGAGGAGAAGAAATATAGGTCTTTACTCTTTACTCTTATTGTATATATGAGGGGGAAAAAAAACATTTTACAAGTGAGCAAACAAAAAAATTTGCCCATTTCATATAAACGAGTAAATATGATAAAATAAATTATACCTAAGTTCAACCGGTGGTATGATTCAATTGCCCTATTACAACGCTGCGATTACCTTTTTCAACGATAAGGTCTATTGATTTGTTGTAACCATAAATGAATTAAGTCTAGTTTTCAAAGTCTATTAGAGATTTGTCACAGCTCACAAACTTGCAGGTGGATTATTTATTTATTTACAAACTACTACGTAAGTGATAAACCTTGTCTAACTTCATAAATTGTTGTTCATATACTATATGCTACTAATTTAACATAAACCATTCTATAAATCATCCTATATGCCTTGTAGTTGTACAACTTCATAAACCATTCTATATGCTACAAATTTAACATAATTACAGGCTAATAATACCAACCCATGAAAATTCACAACGAACAAGACCTAACATAATTCTGATGAATCCGATCATTTAGAAAGAAATGAGAGACGGTCACTTGGATTCAAGGTTAAGTTTTCTAGTTACAATCACAGTGGTATATAACTGTTATTGATGCAAACAAGTTGTACAAGGTTCAACAATTTTCAATATACCTCACAATAAAGATATAAAATAAAAAAAATAAGAAAAACTATTGCAGCTACTAGCATACATCTTTAAACAGATAGGATACTTGTTAAATATAATTCACCAAAAAAAGATGTAAAATTTGAACGTGAAATACAAGGGGGCAACTATCGCCGGAATACAAGGAAAAAGAAAAAAACAAACCTCCTGTGCAGATACCCCCACATGAACTACACTTGATTCCTGTTTTGCAAGGTACTAAGCATGTATTGAAGTAACAGCCCATTGAACTTCTCAGTTTCCCATCTCGCTTTCAGATTCAAGCTGCTGGAACCTTCTTTCCATCCTCGATGAAGAAAATTGAAGTTTCTGGTACCTGCAATACAGAAGAAAAAAATTAGATAAATGGAAAGGAAGGTAGAAATATTAATAGGGGAAATGCGCATAATGAAGAAAGTCTCACGATACCATTTTGAAACTGGTGCAACAAACAATGCGAGGTAATAACAGATTTATTTAGAAAGAGAAGACAACCAAGAAGATCACCAGGTGCAAAAAATTGAAATCAAAATGTTCAAAGGGAATAGGTATTGTTAAGGCACGAGAGCAAGGAAGGCATGTTAAGCCCACTCTAACACCAAAATGTTAAACATCCAATAATCGTTGCATGACTGATACCAAAAAAGAGCACAGAAATGAAAAGGTATAATTTCTATGAACTTGCATTGCCGCTCAGGCGCTCAGCATGCAACAAATTATAAGGTAAGAGCAAAACTAAGGAAGAATGGTTGAACAGTATATTACATCAGCCCAAGTGTCTGTAATAAAATCCACAATATCATAGGCTATATCCCCTTGAACATCAATTTGCTCCTTCTCCGTTGGTCCCTGAAATAGATCAGCCACAGGATTTAATTATTAAGTAGGTGAGCTCTGAGCAAGGCGAATAAATTATCTATCATTAAAAATCATATGACCTTAACAACGGACGCTCCAGTAGCAAACTTTTTCCCCAGCTTTTTTGAAGCATCACTGAGTTTGACACCTGAAAAATTCAACAAAATTAGCATACAGAACCCATACTGACAATGAATTAACTACTACTAAAAGCCAAAAAGAATCAAACACATAATAACAAACAGGTCAGCAAGATGAATCCATGTAATTGAATAAGTCTGATTCATGTTGAGTTTTGACTTTTGAAGCGAGATCATATGACAGTCATTAACATCTACCTAGATATTTTTGAAATTTTATTTATATATGTATAGGCGAGTATCTAGTTGGCAAAATTTGAACTAGCAGTTGGAAATATCAATGTACTAGAAAGCTAGGAATTGAAAAAATCTAAATAAAAGCAAGGACAGAAAAAGGTTATCTAATCAAAATTCTTCAACGATAGTTCTAATAAAATAAGCAATACAGATAAACATCATTAAACTATAGTAACACGCCAGTTATTGTTAGTTATAGGTGATCGAGTTAGTCAAGGGAGCTTCAACCTGTTTAACTTGCACATGAAATCACTCAATTGTAAATTGCATATGCAACAATATCTATTAACTATAGCTAAAATAAGCCATGCTAATATCATTGATTAACACATGTCAAGTTCTTATGAAAATAAATTCCCACCTAAACTATTTTTGACATCATCCTTTTTTCCCTATTTTTTCCTATTAAATAAATACTTCTTTCAAAAAAAATTATTTAATGAGATTATAACTACATTTTTCGAATAAAGAATAATGACTAGTATTTTAACCAAATAATACACTAGCTATTTAAATCGTCCAACACACGGGACTAATCTAGTTCAAGTAATATCCAAGCAGAAAATCTCACCAAAAAGTTCCAATCCTTTCACAGTAGTGATACATTTTCGTTTATTCCGTACAACCTTCTCAATAATAACTTCTTTCTTGTCCTACAAGCAAAAAAAAAATAGAGTTAGTGTGTTAATGCAAACCAAACTCAAAAACAAGCTGCACAACTCCACACCAGACCAATTGTAATAAAAAGAACAAGAATTGCTATTGTAAATATACAGCAGTGGCCCAAACTGGTGCTAACTTAATGACTGTAAAAAAAAGCATTAAAGGCAAATATCCTCAGAAAACAAGCACGAGATTCATCTACATGATTCTCTATTAGCTTAGACAAGCATCCACCTCCTACTTGAAGTTCATTTATCCAAGATACAAAAGTGCTCTATTTATTTAATACAGGCAAACACTTCACATGTGTGTTGTGTATATTGTAAGCATAGGAATTGAAAAGCTGAGCAATGTAAAAAATATAAGCTGTAGTCTTAGAAGAGTCAACCTAGCCTATAATCATAATCAACCACCATTTCATTTAAATATGTCTGCATCACCATCAATTGCATTATTGTGAATGGAGATCAAGAAAGGAGGGGTAAAGCCGGTAAGTACATATCTATGAAGCAAAGCTGGAAAAATAAAATCAAACTAAATATTTCATTCCTTCTCAAAGATTCAACGCTAGAATAAAGTGAAAGGAAAAGGCTTCTTCAAACATCAACCATAAGCAAGCAAGATATATTGAAAATTAAAGAAAAAACATTAAAACAGGTGCTAGTCTGCTAGATATTAAGAAGATTGCTTTCATAAGATTCATGGCCTGATAAAGGGCAAGGTCCATGGACAGATGGACTTCATCAAATCAAAGTATGAGCAGATAGCAGGAGAACAGTGGAGGAGAGAAGGAAGACAGCCACACACTAAAATTCAGAAGGACCAGCACAATAACACAAAATATTGCTGAATTCAGGCTTCTATCAGCTGTTGAGGTTAAGACAGGGAGAGTAAAGGACGAAGGGAGCAGAGAATAAGGGCCCTGGATATACACAGGTGAATACACTCTTCTACCCACAAGGAAATCCTTAACGAATTATATGAATGAATTGTTGGTTTCACAGATTAGGCCTTTAGTTAATAGATCTTGGTTCATCACATATAGCACCTACATTTGGGATTTTTGTTGATTGAGTCATCTAACTCATAAATTGATCCACAAGGTGTAGAAAGAAAACAATACCAAATTCATACATGCCCCTTCAGGGTTCGATCCGTACTCCAGATCATACCCAGACTTGGATAGTGTGGATAGACTTTACCTAACATAATTATACTTATGACAGGTCTTACTATCAAAATGGAAGAAAGGAGGGCAATGATGTAACTGTTAGGTGAGGTAAAGGCTGTGATAGGCAACGGCATTAACAATTCTCATAAGCCTCTCCCCTACAAAGGAGGACTAGAAGAATATTAAAAACTTTCCACTTGGAACATAGAGAATCAATAATCACCCACCCATCAATCTTACAATCTATAACAAAGTGGTATGTTTCCCTTTGTAACCCTCATCCCCTATTGTTATCGTTCAAAATAGGTAGTAATGTAGTATTATATATGGTGGTTCTTCAAAAGTTGATTGTTAGGTCCATGAAATCCCAAGACCCCAATCACCCTACGCCAACCAGATGAACACCCTTGACCAAAAATAGAGATATCATAGATGAAGATATACTGGGGAAGCCATTTGATTTGTTAACTGAAGCATGCATTTTAATTGAGGGGTCTATCTGAGCCAGTCAACATAACCAGAGGAAGGCATGAGGCTAATAGCTAAACCAAACTAATGCATTTCAAACATTGTAGATCTGATATGTGAGGAATCCAAATAAACCATAAACAAAAGGTAAAAACTATCAATTGGTAATTCATCCTTGACAGCAATTAGTAGGAAAAGCCATCATCCATTATTCTGTTCAGCTTCAAACAGATAGATAAACAAAATCTAACTCTTATATCTCCCACTACTGAATTCAACTAGGATTAGTTCTTCATGATGAATTGTTACAGCTTATTCTGTTTGCTTCAAGATAAACAAAACAACATGACTCATGTCCAATTCCCTTGCATCATAGGATATCCATACTCATTCACCACTCCAAAACTTAAGAAACATATAAAGAAACTCAAATAAATAAAATATGAGACATTATTTATAGTTTGTTCCAATGTTACCTAATTTTCTAGCATGAGATTTGGTGCAGGTTAGCAATACTTTATTTAATTGATATAGTGAGCCAAAAATTGCCAATTTGCTAGTATGATCTGCCTTTTTCAGTTTGCAATTCAGAAGGGTGGGGGGGGGGGGTATGGATAGATTAGGTAACAATGGTTCATCTTTATAGCATGTACAAAAAAATAATCTGAGCATGTTAGCCCCTCAGCCAATAAAGTTGTGTACCCAAAGAGATTTCATAGCTCATCATTGTATAGTTATAAAATCCATGTTACACGTAAGTAGCATCACTATTAAGAAATAAAATAAGGGTAAATTCTAATTTCTTACTTTCTTCTTCACTTTCCCGCCAGGAAGTCTTTTTACTTCTTCTGGTTGAGATGTTGAAGAGCCACCTGCACAAGCTAATCGAATAAGGAAATGTTGTAGACAAGAAATATCCTATATATCATTAAGGAAATACAATAGCATTTAATATACATCAATTTAGAGTGAATACTTATTAGTCACTTTTGGAATGATGCAAGAAACCAATATGCCAAAATATATAACTCAGGTTCACAAATCACATGGAAAAACAGTAAACTACTTGACGTGGTAAAAGTATGATAAGTGCTAAACATCCAGCAAATTGTTTTCGAAAGACCAAGAGTTTTCCATACATATCGTTATAAGTCAACAAAGCCTAATGTAATGTCAAAAATACATGACATATTCATATCTTTTATGGACAAATGCTCTTGCTTTCCAGGAAGAAAAGGGAATTTTAATGAGATCAATAAGTTTTTCAGAAATTTTGCTTTCAAACAAAGAGCAAAATTTAGCAACAGATAAAAAATTTTAATCGGGGATAATAACGATAACCAATAAAGAGGACAAGCAAAGTTCAAAATGAGAGAAAAAATTATTGCTTCCCAAAATGAACGCCCACTACACCTTTTATTTTATAAATTGAGGAAGAACAAAAGAGATGGCACTCTACTAACACACATTCTATGCCTATGTGCAGCAGCCATCAATTTGCACAGCCAAGCACTTTTAAAACCACCAATGAGAAATAGATGGCATTGGTACTCCTAGAATAAGTTGATCTCAAAGCTCAAGTTATGGGCTCTAGGGAGAGCCATGAGATGATTGCTCTAAATTATGCCCAAGAGCTTAGGGGGCACACTTCATATGTAAAGCTAGTGGAATCAGAATCGTTTGTTTCTTTCTTAGTTTCTTTCATTCAACTCCTAATCAGTTTCCTTGTCCTTACGAGAAGCTTCAATTGCGAATCCTGATAATAAGAAAGTGACTATTTCTGTTGAGTGTCTACATTGGGTATTGTAAATTTGATTATAGGTCAAACATGAGAAGAGTTGAGCCTTCATCACCGAGAATAAGGACCACATAAAAGAGGCTAAAGATAACCGAAATCTCAAACAAATACACAACATAGATGACAGGATGAAGTGCGCCTAACCAATCAAAGGGGGATAAATTTCATTACCAAATTTCTACCTACAAATCTACAATATTACAAATCCTCAAAATTTCATAGAAGTCCAAGCTATTGTATTTTGCACCAACACTGAGGTCTTGAACTGGTTATTCTATACTGTGACATCAAAGTGGATGCCCGAGAAAATTTGATGCCTTCGAATTCGGATATACTCGAGAAACCATATTTAAACTACACACTACACTCAAACCATAGAATACATCATACTTTATCACCATTCTATTAATTTACTACATAGGCTACATGAGCAGTCCAACAATGAGAAATTAAAATTACAAGTCACAAAAAAACTAGCATAAGATGCATTAATAGTCAAAAACCAACAGAGCAAATCAATGAGTACATTTAATAACAGATAAAACAGGAAAATTTATAACAATAGCTTCCACAACTAAGTAGCTTGGACAGTGTGTTACCAGCAGAAATTGAAGTGGACTGCATCTGATCAGATACCTTATCAACTTCATTGCCACCGCTCTCTGAATAATCACATTAAAGGGGAAAAAAAAAGACTATTAATTGACAATTAAAATAGACAGAACACAATCAATAACCTTTTTTTTTCTTTTATTTTATGAAAAATTGAAAACTTTATGCCCAGAATTTTCTGGGTTTTTTTTTTCTATTGCCAGAAATTAGATTATTGAAAAACACCCAGAATCAAAAGATTGAAACTTTCTGCTTACAATCAATGGGTTTTTGTGGGGTTTGTCAATAGCTAGAACATAATCAAATTTCAATTAAAAAAATACCCATTAATCGGAAGAACAATCAATTGGGGGCATTAAAAAAGATGGAATTAGAGAAAAATTACTACCTTTAATAAGATCAGGGTAGATATCAGGAGCATTTTGGATCAACCAGGGTTTGCATTTTTCAAATTCAGGTCCAAATTCACAGTATTCTGCAGGTAAACCACATACACCGCAGTATAAAACCTTCACTGCTTCTGGCTTCTCCGCCATTGAAAGTTTTCTCTCTCCTTTTCTGTGTGTGCGCGTAAAAAGAAGGAAGATGAGCGCAGAGGAATCTGGCAAAAATGGCTCTCTTTGTGTTGGGTTTGTGTTTTGCAAGCAATCACCAAAGTGGGTTCAACCGTTCAATGAAGAAGTGTTGGACTGTTGGTGCATCTTATACTTGCACACGTATTAAGGTTAAGGAATATGGATCCAGTCTTTTAAGTTGGCCGGTACGTAGAGTTGTCAAATCAGGTGTGTGATTTGAGCCAGGTTATATTGGATTCGGATTTTATCGGGTCATTTGAAATTTGATCATGTTATTATAAAATCGAGGACGGATTAGTTTTAGATATATATTTATCAGCATATTTAGGGAATAGAGATGTTAATAGGACGGGTTGGATGCGAATATTGGTCCCTCCTTCTTCATCCAATTATCCCTACCCCAAAACTATATCCTTATCTCGATCCCATTATTCTTGGTAGGTACAAATTTATATTTCGTATACCCTCTACCATACCGATTTTAAAATGAAATTTATCTCATCTCACCACCTACTTGGATATCCATCCACACCTAATACCCAGTTAGCCACCTTATTTGATCCATTTCTACTTTATTCTTCCCAAAATCCACCTCACCTGTCAAATGATGTTTTGATTTTAAAATTTTCAACTCATATATATACCTAAAAATAAAAGTATAATACATTGATATAGTTAGATTATATTGGCTTATATTGCTAAAATATATATATATTGTTATATCTTTAGGATACTTGTATGACATAAGAAACATTTATAAACTAGTAGAGTTTGGAATGAGTTGGAATGATTAGGTATGAGGGAGAGTCATTCTAAATTCCACACGTGCTCCACTTATGACGAGCACAATTTTCATTCTCATCCTTGTTCCATCAAGCCATCCCCCCACCAAACTTTCACCCATCCCCACCTAAATGGGTAGGTTTCCATTCGAAGCCACCCAACTGATATAACTTGGGGCAAAGAAACTGTAACCCTGTGGTTGCTTGTAAAAAAACAAAGTAACCCCTATAATATAGACCGTTAGACCAAGTAACCCCTCTAATACTGATCGAGTAACCCCTTAAATACTGAACGAGTTACACTGACGAAGTAACCCTTGTAACACTAACAAAGTAACCCATGATGGCTACCACACAATACACATAAGAATTTGTGAAGTTTTATCATTCAATAATGTTAAAAAACAAATATAGTTAAACAACAAAAGTTTCAATTTAATAAAATTAATTACAATTCATCAAAAATAAAGTGAAGGGAACAAGTTCTTTGAAGAAGTTTTTTTTAGAAGAACCCTAACCTAGGGTAGAATAAATAGATTTTTTTTTTTTTTTTTTTTAAAAAAAAAAAAACCATCAAATTTCCATTGATTTTGACAAAATGGCCTTTCACTATCTATCTCTCATGGACTCATGGTCCACCATCTTGTTCAATTTGTCCTGTAATTCACTCTCTCTTTCACTTCTCTGTTTTTGGCATAACCTTCGGCTTGTATTTCGTAGTGCAAATCTGGAAACTGGACACTAACTGCTCAACTTCTTTCGATTTCAACGAATCTAAGGTCCTATTCACTTTCTCGTTTTCTAATTTTTTTTTTCAGCTACTACAAAATCAACATATATACTTGTACATTTTATCAATTTATGATTGTATGGGTAGATTAGTTGCAATACATACGAGTAGGGTTTATTTGGTTGCCCAAAAGAAAATTCATGTGAATTTGGAAAATTGGAATTGAGGGGTTTGAATGGTTAAAAGGTGTAAATTCATGGAAATTTTCAATGTTCACAAAACATAGGAACTACTCTACGGTTAACTCAGTATACTCGTGAATTGCAAATGCCTTCATAACAACCAAACAAGTTTAACCAATTCCTAGAAATTTTGATATGGGATTTTAATTTCAATGATACAAATGCATATGAGAATTTTTTAATTCTCATATCAACCAAACGATACCTAGAGTTATATGCATGCGTGACATAAGGAGTTGTACTCTTGACGTGAGAGAATTAATAGTTAAGTTGATTGTGACATTGTGTTACTTGTTAGTTTACTAATAATACGACAATTAATTATGGACATAGGGAGTTTATAAGTTGAATTTTATCCGTCAACACAGAGTAACATGAGTGTTCTACAAATGTGGATGTCAACAAATATAGATGTAAGAATTGGTTCACCCCGAAGTTAGGTATCCTATAATTTGTCATCAAGTTGATTTTAATGGAAGTATTATGTTAGGAGAGAAATATGGTATAAAATATCGTTCTGTATTGCTTATTTCACGGTAAATTATAGTGGGAATTTGAAATTATAAGCATCAAATATCAAACTAGAAATTCAAAGTAGGTGGTACTATCTACAACAAGCATGGAAATGGAGAAGTAGTTCACATATATGCATATGAAGCTGTCTTTTTACAATTTCCAATCAGTTTCGCTAATGAGTGATAAGAACAATAGGATCAGATGCAGCTTCACCGACTTTTGGTAATCGATGTAGTCTTGATGTCATGGTCACATGGTGTACATAATAAGCATCATTTTAGTTACTTCAATGTGATCATATTACCTTTTTCATGTGAAATAGGACTAGGATGGAGATCAGGGAGTGCTGTTTGCTTGTTTATGTGTTTCTCTGTATCATATTTTGCCATCAGAAAACTAGATAATGAGAACGAAGTATTGATTTAATCTTGACTCTTAAGCAATCGATGATGATTATATACAAGTATATTTTTTTATATAATAAAAAATTGACTGCAGCTCACATCAATAAATTTGAACAAAATAAATCGCTGTTAACTTACATAATAGTAAAGTATTACAAACAATCAAGCAATGAATAAATTTCGGCTATCCTAACTGTTCTGTGAATAATCCTAACTAGTTTTTATTCCAGAAGCATGCGTTCTGCCATTTGATGTAGCTAAAAAATGGTTTGTCTGTGACAGGTATGAACTTGACGAGCCACCCTAGAGGCCATGATACTGCTGCAATTCCGATACAAACACCCCACTGTCCCCAATTTAATCTTTCTGTATTGGCGAATTTCTTTAGGAATTCAACCATCACCACCTGGAGGATAATGGTTATGGCAATGATGGCTAGGAACAACCTGTTCTTGTGTATTCCTTCAAAGATGTTCTTCTTCTCGAGCTTTCTTGCATTAAATTCATTAAAAACCTGGCACAGCACAAAGGTATTGAATAGCAGCGTATCCTTCACCTTGCTTCCTATGCCAAAGATTGATTCTCCCTTAAACTGTAAGGTCAAAAGGACTGCTATCTGGTATAGGGCTTGAGACATCAGGTTTCTCCACATCACATTGGTGATGAGTGGCTCCGTTCTTCCAACTGGTGCTTTTTCCATCAATTCTGTTGCCGGCTTCTCAGTTGCAAGAGCTAAGGCAACTAAGGTGTCCATAATCAAATTGACCCATAAGAGTTGAACCGCGGTTAGAGGAACCTCACCCGCTGAAACTGCTGCTACAAAGTTGATCGTCAGAGCCGCAACATTTACAGTAAGCTGGAATTGGATGAACTTTTGAATGTTGTTGTAGACACATCTACCCCAATTTAAAACTGTTGCTACTGAAGCAAAATTATCGTCCAAGATGACAATATCTGAGCTCTCTTTGGCAACTTCAGTCCCTTGTATCCCCATAGAGAGCCCTATGTCTGCCTCTTTTAATGCTGGTGCATCATTTGTGCCGTCTCCTGTTACTGCAACCACATAGCCCTTTTGTTTGAGACATTGCACCATAAGTAGCTTATCAAAAGGAGAGGATCTACCCATGACGCGTATCTTGTCAACTTTCTCGCTTCTTTCTTTATCTGTGTAGCTCCGAAATTCTGGACCTTCAACAACAGCACTGTTAATGTCGTCACCAGGCTGCAATATCCCACACTCAACAGCTATTGCTCGTGCAGTGAAAACATTATCCCCTGTTATCATCTTAATGTTTACTCCGGCATTTTGACAATCTTGAACAGCTTTCTTTACCCCAGGTCTACACGGGTCCTTTAGACCAACCATTCCGAGCAACGTCAGACCATCATCAGTGAGCTTTTCTTGATCCATTACTTCATTTTCCTTATGTACTACTTCTTTGTGAGCAAAGGCAATGCATCTGAGGCTGCTAGCTGCCATGCTTTGAATTATCTGCTCGAAAGTTTCCTTTGCCTTATCATTCATAGGCTTCAAATTTCCTGATGCATCATAGTAAGAGGAGCATTTATCTAGTATCATTTCAGCTGCACCTTTCCAGTGTACATAAACTTTATTGTTTTCTTTATCTTTTATTAGAACCCCACTTCTTTTCTTCTGTGAATTGAAGGCTTCTACATGAAGGATCGTACAACCCTGGTTCAGCTTCTGCATGTCCGTGTTGAGCTCCAACACGACCCAAGAGAGTAGAGCCTTCTCTGTTGGGCTGCCTGAGAACTCGTAATCTGAACTAGAAGAAGAACCCCTGTAGACACTTCCTGTAGTATTGAGCCCAACTCCTTGCTGGACGAATGCAAGAAGATCAGCATCAATCTCAGAGGTTGTGCCTTGTTCAAGAAGATTCTGGCCCAACCAGACTTTTGTGACCTTCATCTGATTCTGGGTTAGAGTGCCTGTCTTGTCCGTGCAAATGGTGGTGGCTGACCCCATTGTCTCACATGCTGAGAGTTTACGAACCATAGCCTGATCAGCCATCATTCTCTTCATTGAATAAGCGAGTGTGAGGGTGACGGCCAATGGCAGTCCCTCAGGTATTGCAACCACAACAATCGTAACAGCAGCTGCAACAATTCTGACGACAGCATTGAGCACATCGTTCACATTCTTATTGCTTCCATTGAATTCTCTTCTGCCACTCTCATCTCTGGTATGTCCTGTGAAGTATCGAACCAATAACACCACAAGTACAAGGAAAGCCACTGCCAAACCAAGCTTACCTATTGAAGAAGTTAGCTTGTTAAGCCGAACTTGTAATGGTGTTTGTTCATGTGTTGCGGCTTGCAGAACTCATCAGCTCTCCCCAGACTGTATTCATCCCTACTGAGGTGACGAGCATCTTACCATAACCATCGGCAACCTTCGTCCCTGATACCAAGTACGGGTTTTG